TACACTCTAAAAAATGCTGGGTTAAATATAACCCAGCGCTGGGTTAAAAAGGGACAAACCCAGCTATTGGGTTGTTTTGACCCAGCGGTTTGATCAAAACCACCCAACCGCTGGGTAAAAAAACCCCCAATAGCTGGGTTTGTCCCTTTTTTAACCCAGCGCTGGGTTATATTTAACCCAGCATTTTTTAGAGTGTATATGGGGATTTCATTGTTTAACCTTTTCAGAGCCAAATTATGTTCCAGTTACACAAAAATAAGATTTTTTATGACATCTTTTGTAGTTATAAATTAAAATCGTTCAAATTAAAATTAAAATGAATTACACACTCTAAAAACTGCTGGGTTGTTTCAACCCAACTTTGGCTCAAATATGGACTAACCCAGCTGTTGGGTTAAATTTTTTAATTACATTTTTAACCCAAAAGTTGGGTTAGTCCATATTTGACCCAAAGTTGGGTTGAAACAACCCAGCAGTTTTTAGAGTGCAGTTACAATAATTGAACTGTTATTTCTAATGTTACTTTTAATTGTTTCTGATCACTTGAAACCACAATCCATTTTTTTAAAGAAATGTAATTGATAGAATTATTCATTTTGAATTTAATTGATGGAAGCAGATAACTCAACAAGTTAAACTCTGTAAGACTAATGTGCACTTACTAATGTAACATTTTAGCTTTATTTTAAAACAAAGTAGCATATTATTTAAATCATTTTAAACAAGTGCAAATTCTACCATATTTTTCTGCCTTGTGACACATAATTCTAAAGAATTCTTTCTTTCTTCCTTCCTTCCTTCCTTCCTTCCTTCCTTCCTTCCTTTCTTTCTTTCTTTCTTTCTTTCAAAACAAAAAAGCCACAGTTTGATTGAGATTGAGACTTAGACTGACTTCCTATTTATTTATTTATTTTAAATTTTTAATTATTTGTATTTATTTTAATTAATTTCATTTTATTTGAGGTACCAAGTAGGAAATACACACCAGACAATGTTGATGGTGAGAATGGATGCAGGGTTTGAAAAGGTTAATAATCCAATTATGATTATTCTGTGATTGTTTTGTATTCTGTATTCTATCTCAGATGGCTCTGTTGGAGACTCATTTGTTACGGACACATCGTGAGCTGCGTTTGGCCCATCTGGCGTTGAGCATAATGACTATGGGTTACGTATGGCAGGAGGGAGAGAGAGAGACAGTAAAAGTACAACAATTTTATTTTCATTCCAGAACAGGACTGAAGCACAGAACCAAACTGTCTGACTATTTATGTATGTCGTGAACTTCCAGGTGCTTCCACGGAGTCTGTCTCTGCCGTTCTGTGAGGTGTCTCAGAGACTGGGTCTGCCTCCGATTCTCATCCACGCTGACACAGTCCTCGCCAACTGGAAGAAAAGAGATCCAGATGGGTAAACTCACTGATCCATATAATATTGTGTGTTTTTTTTTTTTAGTAATGTTATCTTGCCCTGTTTTATTTAATTAGGGTCAATACCTGCTATCAGTAGGCATTCCGGTTCATCTCAATAGCAGCTGCTCAGCAATTTCTTTATATTAGATATTATATGTTTCACCTTAGCTCCCAGAGGTCTCTGCATAGCAATAAATAACTAAATAAATAAATAAGAAAGAAAGAAAGAAAGGAAAATTGTTCACCAAAAAATCAACTTGAAATATTACAAAAATAACTAAATGTTATAAACTTGCATAAAAAAGATAAACAAATTAGCTATATTTCAGATGTGTATTATTAAGCAAACTAACCAGTAATATTATATTTCTTTTTCATGCACAACTGGACATGGATTGTTCCCAGACCTTTTTCCTTGGAGTATGTATTTTGTTTTATTAACTGAAAGTGTGTTCAATTATATTTATTTGTAGAACCAGCAGAGGGAGCCATCTCATTATGTTCTGAGGGGAATATGTAAATATGAGCTGTGGCAATTCAGATCCTCTTTGCAGCAATTATAGATACATTTTGGTCAAAAATGAGACACCACAATGAACAACATGACATGAATGAATGAATGAATGAATAATTCACATGTTGATGTAGTTTGTGGCTAGTGCTTCTGAAGTGTTGACCTGCCATTCATGGTGACTGCTTTTGCTTCCTGTAAGGAACTTGGAGTTGTTGTTGACATTGCCTGGTGGGGGAAGTGTAAGAGGATTTTTTCTGGTGACACTGCTGGTGGAGTTGGCAGCTGTTCCTGGTCTGAAGGTCCGACACCTTTACAAATGCTACAATTCACAGACAGAGCACTGAGCTAAGCTGTAATAGCCAAGCATACACCATGATACACCATGCTAGTATTTAATTAATTGCTTTGGTTCACCATGGCATGTGAATATGCATTGAAAAAAAAATGTGTTGGATTTACTTGGAAACAATTTTCACTCTGAAATTGCTAGGCAGTTTCACAAATGACAAAGAAATGGAATTAAACACTTTGATTTAAACATGAAATTTTGAAGTAGAAAGACTTAAAAGAGCATTGTCTTGTACTCCAATAATTTTTGTTTTATTTGCAACTTCGAAAGACAGTTTACAGTGTGGTATTGCCATCTGATAACATTAGAGTACCATGGTAATACTAACTGTTTCTTTTTTCACAGTCTATCCTTGATGTCATCAACGGCGTCCAATATAATGATGTTGCTATGGTCACCAAAGCTCTGGATGTTGTCAGTCAGGCCATAGACAGCATGAAACAGGCCTTTAAACTAATGCATGGTAATACTTTCAGGAGGACAGACGAACTTGGGTGTTTTAATACATTCATTCAAGACATGTGACATATTAATCGTTACTGTTTCAGAATATGTAGATCCCTCCATATTCTATGGCATTATGAGGATCTATCTGTCTGGGTAAGCCATACTGTAGATTTCACTGCTGTTTTTTGGATTTCCTTCAGAGTTCTTCTGAATCTATAAAAACTTAACTCTCCTTCTGCATGTGGGTGTTAGATGGAAAGATAACCCATCAATGCCAGAAGGTCTCATCTACGAGGGAGTTCAGGAGAAGCCAATGGAGTTTTCAGGAGGCAGTGCTGCTCAAAGTAGTATCTTACACTGCTTTGATGAGCTGCTGGGAGTCCAACATGAAGGCAGCAACGGTAAGAGAACCAATAGTAATGATTAGATCATTCTTGGTTGCATGATGCATGCATCAAGATGCATCAAGACATGTCTTTATATGAAAATTATTGTTTTGCTCTGTCAACACTGTCCAAACAGGGGACTTCCTGAAAAGAATGAGGGACTACATGCCGCTCTCTCATAAGCAATTCATTGAAAACGTCTCTAGTCGCCCATCACTGCGCAGCTTTGTGCTCCAGCAAGCGGATGAGCGTCTAACACACACATTTGAGCATTGTGTGGCTCGCTTGGTGGACTTTCGAAATTACCACATCAACATTGTCACCCGTTACATCACTATCCCGGCCTCCCGTGCCAAACAGCTCCGTGCCAATAAGCAGGGTTTGGCCGAGGAGCTGGACGCGATCAGAAGTGCACCCAAAGCGCTGGAGGAAAGAGGTACTGGAGGGTCAGGGATTATGACCTTTCTGAAGACAGTGCGTGACGAAACCAAAGACACTTCCATCTCACAGTGTACTAATGGAAACCAAGTCTCGCCAGACCCATCGATAACAGAAATACAGAAGGCTGCATCTGAGCTCACAATAGAATGATAATAGCACCAAAGTATCTTGGAATGGTGATTTGACAACCAAGGCTCATTGGAAAAATGTACCTGTTGCGACATTTCTGCAAAATGATATTACATTGCTACTTGAGCTACTTTGCGACACTTTCAAAGTGAAATGTCCAGTGAGTGACACTAAAAACATTTAATTTCATCCACAACAGATTATTATGTTGGTTGTTGTTCTGTACATAGCCTATAGCAGCTGTTTGGAAATTAAATGTCCAGTGAGTGGCGCTAAAAATGTACATTTACTCCAAGATGTCTCCAAGATCATCCAAGATGTAGGTTACTTTTTTTTTCAGAAGAACAGTAACGAAGATTCTTGGTGATTCATAAAATGCAAGTTAACAGCTACCGTCACTTTGAGAGTCAAAAGCTTCTACAGGCAAGACAAAATGATAATAATCGCGGCTCCTGACGATAAATTGAGGTGTGATGATATATTGAAGCAAAACGATTGAACTATGCAAGAAACATTATTTACAATCAGACTCGGACCGAAGAACTGATGAGCTGCTGATACGAGCATGCATAAACCCTAGCACTTGAATGAAGGGACAAAATGAACATTTTTTTCATGTGAAATGGTGAGATATTTACGACTAGTTTATTCACTTTGCATGCTTTAGACGTAAAACATCCATGTTTCACATAATTATTGTGTGTTTTATACGTAAACTAATTGGTGAATTGGTTATTTGAACCAGTTCGTAGAAATGAACCGTCTGAAAGAACCAATTTCCCAGAAAATAATCGGATTTCCCTGTTTACCTGAGGTAATAGTGTTATAAAAAATATTCAGTTTCTTGATTCAACATATTATTTTACAAACTTACCGGACATCCAAAACAATGCTACTGTATGTGTGCAAACTGAGATTTTTTTTAACCAGCTGATAACTCACAAACAAGTATTTGTTACAAGTAACACGAGTTACGTAATCAGATTACTTTTTTCAAGTAACTAGTAAAGTAACGCATTACTTTTTGACTCACAAGAAAATATCTGAGTTAAATGAGTAACACTAACACCAGTTACTTAGTTTTCCCATTTACTGACTGACAGCTCTTCTGTCCGATTGTTGAGAGAAATCGGGAGTAAGTCCAGAAGCGTTGTTGTGTGCGCTGTGTAACATGATGCTTACTGTACAGTAGTTCTAGACTAAATGTCAACATGCATTTACTTATATCACTTGCACAAAAACAGATTCATTGTTCATCAAAATGAATAAAAACAGTGAAATGCAAACTCAGAATATGATGTAAAACTCCTATAATAAAATGTCAAATGACACAAATATCCTTTGAATTTAATCCCATTTTATTAACCTTATTTACATTTGATCAATTTTTATGATCCAATTCAACAATATGATTAAGCAGATAAACATAAAATTTGTTAATTTTTTTTTTAATTGCCGAAGAGTGTTCTTTCTTCTCCTTTGTACTATTATTAATGCAATCCAGAATAGCAGCACAGCTGAAAGGTTTGTTTGAGGTGAGCCCTCTACAGACGTGAATTTACATTTCCTTCAGCCTGACACTTATTCATTTCACTTTTGGTGCGAAAGGGCTTTAAAATGTCAAAAAACAAAACTTTTTTATATTTAAAACAAGCAAGCAAGCCCAGATGAGAACAATTAATGCAAAAGTAAAATAATGCAATACTTTCCATAAAAAGGTAACTAAGTAACACAATTAGTTACTTTTTTAACGGAGTAACACACTATGGAAATACACTACATTTAAAAGTAACTTTCCCCAACATTGCTCACAAAGAGCTTTTAAATGATGTAAAGGAGTGAAAACAGCGGCAGGAGTTCCTCTGTTACACAGGCGTTTCCGACAACTGTACCAAACTCGAATGGACAACATTGATATGACAAGAACCAAGTATGCTTTAGAATTCTGTTCTTTTTAGGGTCACATTTTGACACATCACGTCTTGTTTTTGGTTTGTTTACTGGTATTTGGTCTGCATTGCATTTATATATTCGTCGAACCGCATTTGGAAGAGGATGTTTGGTCTGCTTGGTGCCAAAAGGTTCAGATGGCACGCTAATTTAAATGAACCGCGTTAACAGAGCAATCGTACAAGAGTTCATTTTAATCAAACCAAACCCGTCTTAGTGTGAACACACCCATTTACGGTAATTTTTTTTTACAAGAAACGAATGAAATTAAGTCTTCATTAATCAATAACATGCCCTGTAATCATGACTTGTGTAAAAAGGAATAGGCATATATTTGCAGAAATGTAGGTAGAGGCAAGTTTTTCAATTGAGCCTATGTTGCAACTTGACCTGATACATAATACTATCAAACATTACAGTGTTAGAGGAAAAGCGACAATGTATTATTAGTCTCAAAGAAGAGCTAAAAGCAACATTTAATTATATACAGTGGGGCCTAACGATCTGAGACTATAGCACCCCACTGTATGCCTTCAAAGATGTTCATTTATCCATCACTGTAGAACACTACCTGAATTCCCATTATAATGGTTGCAATATGTCCTAAAATGAGTTTAGTATGTATTGCATCTTGTTTATTCATTGCTACTTACATAATAAAGGTATTAGAGCTGTTTCTGCTCCTGACTCTCTAACCTTTATCTTGGAAAGCTGGGAAATGGACATTCCTTTGTCATTTCATGCCATGAATTATTGTGATTTGAAGCTATAATCCAATCAAAGCATAGAGTAAAGCCTTCTACTTGAGCCACGCACATAGCTTCCCTTCAATGAAAACGAGTGTTATGGACATTTTGACTTCAAGCCAAACCATAATTTGAACCATCGACTTTAGTTTCCATTATATGCAACCACTAATCTTTCCATTTCATTTAAATTAGAATGCAAAATATGTCCCCCTTCTCACTCTGGGTAGTTTGATTGAAACCATGAGCCTCAGTTCCTGGATGACAATTGGCTGCAATGAGACCGCTCTCATGCTAGAAAGCTTTCATATCACGGATGCTTATTTTTAGTAAATAACTGTGAGAATTTCAATAAGCAGCTGTTGCATTTGCATTTTTGGATGAAAAAAGATCCTACTGTAATTATACCATTCTGTGCAAAGATTAATTACGAATCTTGTTGCTAATTTTCATGGTTTTTGTGGTTATTTTATCCTATGGTAAACCCATTAATGAAGTACAGTGTGTAGTATAGACACACAGTACAATGCTGGTAATCATTCAGTGAAATGAGAGTATTCTCCCATTCAGTGTGGAGTAACTTACAGAAGCCTGTTTCCAACTCAGAGTAAAAATATGATGTCGCTTTGAAATAAATAATAATAAGTCATATTGCGATAAAAAGTCCCGTTGTGTGATGAAGACTTTAAATTGTGAGATATGGTGACAGATATGGGCTCTCATAATTATTATAATTCTTCTAAGTAACTAACTAAAATTAGCGATGCTACTAACTTGTGTTGGAAAATCCTATTTTTTAGTGAATCGGTTCGGTCAGATGGTTAATTTACATAAATGAACAAAATCACAGATGATTCACTGATTTGACTCAGTTAATTAATTTGTTTTTATAAAGTTTATAATATTAACAGTAATATTATAAAATATTATTATATTATAAAAATATTTATAATTTATCTTTATAATTTTAAGGTTGTCACCTTAATTTAAGATTCATTCATTAAAAGTTTTTTTCTTCTGTTTTGTATTTAGTGATATTTTATGTTTTTATTGGGTTTATACTATTAATATTATTATAGTGTTATAAAAAATATTTATAATAACATTGAACAATTCTGTAAAAGTTTAATGCTAAAAACAATTATTAATTCATTCCAGTTTTTTTCTTGCATTTAGTGATTATTTATGTTTTTATAGAGTTAATAATAATAATAATAATAATAATACCATTTATAAGATATTTATAATTTGTCTGCAATTTGTCTTCATTCATTCATTCAATTTTTTTTCTTTTTGTATTTAGTAATAATTTATCACTATAAAAGTTTTATAAAAGTGTTCATAATATTAATAGTATTTGAATAAATATATTAATTCAAAAAAACTAATCTCTGCCTAATCTATGACTCTAAGGCACGGTTTCATAGACAGGGTTTAGCCTAAAACAGGATTAGGCCATAGTTCAATTAGGACATTTAAGTCATTTTTAAAAACATGCCTTAGAAAAAAGCATTACTGGTGTGCATCTTAAGACAAAACAAAGGCACTGACATGTTTTAAGATCAGTCAGTGCAATTTCTTTCGGTTGAAACAGCTCAGATTTACATTTTAGTCTAGGACTAGGTTTAAGCCTTGTCTGTGAAACCGGGGGTTAATGTAATCTGACTTTTTTTTTTATATATATATTTTATATGTTTTATTTATTTGATACATAAAAATATTATGATATTTTATTTTGATAATCATAGTATTTACAAATATATAATTACATATTAATTATACTGTCCCATTTAATATCATTAATGCAGTTAGCATTTAGCTTGCAGCCTGACTGTACTTGAATACATATCTTGACAAGTTAAAGTGGCTCTGCTGAGCTGACATTCAGCCTGCTATATTACCAATGTTTCTGGTACGCGACATTGCACGTTCTATTTCACAGGGGAACTACCACTCATCCAATGACACAGCAGAGATAGCAGGCAGAAAAAAAGGTCACTATCATCATTCTAATGTGTAACTAGAGAGGTTTCACTCTGAATCACAGCTTTGGGTGTGTAGTTCCTTTGGGCATTCATACGGATTCAAGAATCAGCTTTCTTACGGGATGATGTTTTCTGGTATTGGGTGGTAAAGCGTGTCTAGGCCAGCGATGTCCAGGCCTTGTGTTAAATATGGTCTTGATGCGACCTACGCTTATGAAGCTCATGGTTTATGGTTCATATCTAAGTAATTCACAGATCATTTGAAAAGTCATGTCTTAACATGTAATGTTATATTGATAAACGCGAAACTAAGGGTGTTGGTTTCAATCAAGCACAACTAAAAATTTCCCACAGCTCATTGCCTAAAAGATGAATAATGACAAGGAGGGCGGAGCATGTTACGCCCTTTATGAGATTCTCAATCTTTCCAAAAACATC